TGGAGATGAAAGGTGATAGCTCTACTGTAAATCCAATGATCCATTTCAAGAATGCCTGTTCATACACTTACATTCTGAGGTCAGCTTCATATACAATAAGCCCCACATGAACACATTCACGTATCAAATGGATATCTGAAGTGTAGTCACAGGAAGGATTTGATTCTACATTCAGCTCATATAACTTATCACTGCGACAAACACTAGAGACACGTGGTATTTGATAATTATCACTTGAAACACTTTTAATACCACTTCTGTGCATTAAATTTACCTTCTTCTTGATGAAAATTGTTATTATTTTAATTTTTGCAAGAGCGAAAACGACGCAGCAAAACAAAAACACGTCATTTTCGCAGCGCGGCCTACTTCAAATCTACAACTACTATTAACCGGTTTTTTCGTCAGGTTCATCGACCAATTCAATGGATGATTCATCAATGAAACAATGTCGACAAATAATCGTTAAATTTAGATGCTTAGTTATGGACCGCGGTTTGCAATTACTAGGTTATAACAAGGGGAACTCAACTCTGTACATCTCAACCTGTGCCTAGTACGTTATCTGTGCCGACAGCTGTGCCCAGTGTTGCGCCGAACGTTCCACATAGTGGCAGTCAAACTGCCGGTCTCAGTATGAGTTTGGCAACCCTGCAGTTATGACTTTTGAGATTGTTTGTTTACAACTTCAAGCTCTCATGGATGGTTCATTGAAAAACGGAAACGAATGTTATTTTTTCCTAAATTTGCTCCCTAATTTCAAAAGATGGTTAGGCTATTACCGATCATGTTGATAATGCTGATGATGATGGTGTTGTTGCTATTGAAATATATTTCTGAACAAGACACAATTACATTAGCTGTGTTTAAGATTTATCTTCTGTAAATAATGTTTGCAAATAGACTAGGGCGTTGCTTGACAAAAATAAATCTTTTTTCGGTGACTCTTTAAGTGAAATGTAAGCACAAATGTTTACTTGTCGATGAATATCATTCGATAAGGTTAGTTCTCCAGTTGAAGCAATGGTGTAAAAGTTACCCAAAACCATGCTGCCTCTAGGGTTTTGGCCTTCAGGGTGTAGTTGAGTAATAGATGTGAGTGGACAAGATTTTAATCGACCTGAAGATTATAATTATTATAGTTTATATCTCCTTTAAACTTCATTTGCAACGGACCGGGGTAGGTATCGGTCTAGCTGGAAACATCACACCAACCAGCTGCAGCTTATAGTCGCAATGTTCTGTCTTCACTGCTGAAGCTACTGCCATCTTTTTCGCTGCTACAACGCCCTCGCACCGATCGATCCTGGTCCCCATGGATTCGCACAGCGTCAAACAAGTCCTAACATCCGAGGCCCTGACTCATCCATGGGTACAGGGGACGATGAAGTCCGCGCCACCAAATAAGGTATTCTGCTGGGTTCCGGGGCACTGCGGAATACCAGGCAACTCTGAAGCTGACTTTCTGGTTGGTGCAGGACCATCTGCTCCTCGCTATACCAACGAAGTACTGTTACACGATGTCAAGTGCTGGATCGTGAGCTATGGGAAGCTTGGGCCCAAAACCGCTCTATCTTCATCAGACGGATCAAAAGGATGACGATGAAGCGGACAGAACCGTTTAACCAGTGGGATCAGAAGATAGCGTCGCGTTTGAGGACCGGTCACAGCAAGATCTCGCACAATTTCGGTGGAACACCGTTCCACAGGACTTGCGTCGGTTGTAGAACCCCAGCCTCAATCGAGCACATTCTATGCATATGCTCTCAGTATCAGAACCTTCGGGATCTCCACGGGCTACCAAATAGCATACGCGACATGCTGGGTGATGATCCCTACACACTGGCAGCAGTAATGCGCTTTTTAAAGGATGCTGCAAATTTTGAAATTTTCGCTCCACGGTGCTCAAATGGTTCCAAATTGGGTCCTGATTAGCCTTCCAAAATTTGAACTCATTTAGGAAGAAACTGACTTGGCACAAACCATTTCAAGATTTCCATATAATCAATACGGGAAAACCATTTTTTTGTTCATTAACTTCCAGGCTTTTTCCATATTGCTGTTTTTAAATTCCTTTCGGCTGTTGGACATCTCTGCCTGGTGGAGGCCCTCCCGGTTTCCCCGGTGTGGAGAATTATTTGACCATACTCCAGCTCCAACTGTTTCCAAAAGTACGCTTAAAAGTTGAATTTGTATATTATATTTAATAGTTTTTCAATCGAGCAGAACTTTCGACAATATTGACCTCATCCGATGCCTCTTCCGGCACCAAACATGGTACATCTCAATAAACGGCATCAAACTTGGTACATCTCAATAACCTTTTATAATTCTAGGATTAATCACTGTTTCACCAGTATTGACCGATATTTTTATTTGGAGTAAACAAACCTTAGCAACGGGTAAATCGATTAGAAAAACTTTAGCGCTCAACAGTGTTGCCGTTTTATATAATATTGTTCGTGTCATACGTATCAGCGTGTGCCCTAACGTGCCGAACAGAGTGTCATACTGTGTTTCGGCACAGTGTGCAGAGTTGATTCCCCCTTGGCTTATAATAAAGATTTCAAAACTCTTTGCTGTTGTTTTGACGCTGATTAATCTTTTTCTGGGCATATCCACTGTCCACACTGTCACTCAGAGTGAGCGCTCACGAATCGTTAAATCGCTGATTGTGACGCTCTGAAAGCAATATTGACAAGTTTGTTGGGTCAAACACATACTTTATTACCTCTTCTTGTAAGTTATCAGTACAGTTCTAATTATCATCATAATATCTAATGATGTCATAATTTCGAAAGACAATTTTGTACAGCAAGTGAGTGGAAGCAACCCTGCACAGTTCGAAAAGAAGTGTAAACTTATATGATATATGATGCACACAAATGGAGCATCATATATCATATAAGTTTACATTATATATCATGTAAAGTTCTAGCACAATTCATGCAATGTAGCAAATATTGTATACAAAAGCCCATCTTTGTAAACAACATTGTTTACAAGTTGCTCGGTTGTGTGAAATTAAATTTAAGTTTACGTGAATGAATGTTTACATCACAATTAAAATTCAGAATTTTTATCTGTGTGTGGTGCAGCAAGTACGGGAACATGCTTTTGTTTTTTGCTATACAGAATCTTACAGAAAAGCAATTACGGGAACAGACCTAATATTTAAGTTTCTACTATAGATACTATATATTCCATAGATAAGCGGAGGCGAAGTTGAATGCAGCCAAACGAACTGTAATAAATTAAATGAATTAGTTAAAAATCGAAAGGATGCATTTTCATACCCGACAATCTTACGCTGCAATTACGGTGCTGTCCGGTTGGATGGAAATCTGCTGGAAGACCACAAAACGCTTTCCACACTCCACATTCCGATTTATTTCTCAGAAACGGAAGAAGCAAATATTACGCAAACCAATCCTCGAGTGATTATTGCAAAGAATTGCTTTGCAGTTCAGTTTGACCTTTGCGCTCGAAACAAAATAAAACTGCACAACGAAGAGCTCTTTGATGGCATGAAAAGTTTTGACGGATGCCAGTAAGAGCATTTATTTTTCATGGCTGCCAAAAACACTTGTTGTGCATCCGCTTATCTATGGAATCCATCTGCCAAAACCATTGAATTATTTGTATCTAGATAAAAATAGTTTGTCCAGAATAGATTAGCCACGAACTAACTCATACATTTTGTACCCGTATTCGTGGCTAGGATATAGATTTTCCGCGAACACGGTGGCAGATGCAAAGTTTGTGCTTCGATCAGAAATGTCATGGTAATTTGTACGATCATTCATGTCGGTTTGTCGGTGGTGTTATCAACTAAACCACGAAACCAATTCACGACGAACTCTAATCGCTCCATATTCTTCATCCCACGATCACTTGATGCCGTGCAATTGTCTCCACTGCTGCACGCGTACCGCGTACGACTGAGTCTATATTCTAGATGAACATTTCAAAAAGTCCTATTTGCCTTAGTCTTCGGCTGAAAATCACTTGAATAAAAAAAAAGGCTCCATTGATCTATTCCCGTCATCGACTTGCTCTTTTGATAACGAAGGCTGTGCAGATTTCGTGCTATTTTTGCCACATAGTTTGATAAAGAAAGATCTTATTTAGCGTCCAACACGTTAAACACAACAGAAAATGTTGATGCAGCTGAAATTCGGTGAAGAGATGCAGATAGGACCTTTTGAAATGTCGATCTAGATATGGTGTAAAAACTAAGCGAGCGAATAAGCACCACTAATACCTAGGGAAGAGGCTCATCGCGGTGCTTCGAGCCAACTGCTTGCCTTCCACGGGTCGGACGCATTCAGTTGACGCGATAACGTTTAGCGGTGTGGTGGCAATTTCGCCGATCTCCAATGTGATCTTCGCTGTTGATCCGTGAATAAGTTTCAGCCCTACTGTGCTATAGAGTGTGTGTGAACGTGCGTGAAAAAGTGAGTACCTTTTATCTGGCTCAGTCTTGTTGATCACTTAATAAAACGTTAAAACTGCGTAACGTCTGTTTACCGGAGATTTGCTTATTTTGTGAATTGGTTGAACATTCTGTGTGCGGTTTCAATTTCTTTGGGCTCCCGTCAGCTGTAAACGTTATCAAGCCATTTACAATAACAATTAGCCATCCTCGTGAGTCAGGGTGGACCGCTTTTGTTTATAATAAAGCAATGCGATAGAGCGTAGGCGAGGAAGCAAAACAAACGAAGCAAGAGAGTGTACCCCGATGCCACTAAAACAATTGACGGTAGTGTGTTTAATGAGCTTTACTAGCAAGTGTCCGATAATTGCAAGTTAATTTATGTCCAAATACTTTTTACGTTTTCTTACATTCTGATGGTCTGCACTGGTACTGGTCGGTGTTGCTCGTTCTACTGGTAGTGTACTTATAGCTAGACTCGATAGAAAGACCGAAGATTTGAAATTACAATCACATTAATTGACTTTCTGTGTCGTTTGGCGTGATCTTTATTTGCAATCTACAGGAACCTCTTCCGTAGTAGACGTCGTGGATCGATTGCCCCGCTGCCGGCGCTGAGGCTCAACGATAAGGAAATGATGGCGAACGACTTCGACACGCAGAGCGTGCTGAGCAATCAGAACTCCATCACCAGCGTCAACTCGCTGGCCAGTTTGCTCAAGGAGAAGATGCAGGTAAGACTTTATTTCAATATTCAATCGCAGATCAACAAATGACTCGAAGAAAACCACTCCAGACAGTAGCGATTTTCAGTAGGGGGAAGTTTTAGAAACGTGAGATTCCTGAACAGAATTCCATAGTGCCTCATCGAGCATCACAAAATGTGCGAGAAATGAGCTTAATTGAATAATGACCGGTACAACGATCGAGACGTGCCGTGTAGTGCGCGGTTTAAATCCATCTTGCTATTCAACAAGACGGCACCGACTTTCCGTCTATGCATCTGTATCAGTCACCTATAGCGCATGCATGAGGCTTTCTCAGGTTGAGATTCGCTTATTTTACCGTTCGGTAATATCCAGCGACGACGGTGAGTCATTGATTGAAAGGAAATCAACGCGATAAATAGCGGTGAAACCGGTCACGTGACTGTATGCATTTACATGTATGTACCGGTTCTATGCAGTATTGACAAGTGCGTCAGTCGGAAGCGCTAGGTATTCAAAGGACAGTGCTGTTTGTCCTTGAGTCAGATGGTCGTTCCGGCTGAGTGAGAGCTGTCACTGCTGTTGATAATGATTTGCATTTTCAGAATAGAAGCAAACTTTAACTTTTGGTCACCGTCATCACTTTCACCAGTCTTCATCCATCAAATCCATTTTCATGATCATGCACATTTTCATCTTCATTTCAGCTCATCCCACCTTCATCTAACGAAAAGAACTATTTCACGTTCAAAGCTCCGAACCATTTGACGGTAAGTTGATATGGCGGTTACATATCATACGACAACGTCTAACAAAATTCTTTACACGATGCATCTGTGAGATGTAGATCGTGTGATTGAGATAAGTATACCTACGCTGATTTGTCAATGTAGATGGTGGAGAAGTTTTTTGAAGACGAGTTGTTATGATGTTCCTGACAAGGACGTAGGACAAGGAAATCTTCTTTCAAAATAGGAGACAGCAATATTTGTTTGATGAAGGGTTATACCGAATGACACTAGAACAAAATCCAGTACAGGTATACCTCGATATAACGAAACTGTCACTTTTGACTTCCATCGCCGATTTCTCTCAAACGATCTTTCAATCAAGCAAAGTTATGATTCCATCGGAAAGTCGAGGCAAATCTCCATCTATTGGTAATGTTGATTTATATGATTGAATTTTTATTTGAGAGATATCGACGATGACGGTCAAAGGTGACGGTTACGTTATATCGAGGTATACCTGTAGCTCGAATGCGATTAGGCCGAAGGGGCCAATAGATCAATTCGGTCGATCATTAGAAATTTTTGAAATATTTGTTCTTTACATCAACATTGTTGAAAAATAAATGATAACATCAATTTAATGGTGGCATAATTTTGTCAAAAATCATTTCTACTGATCTTATATCAAGTAAAGAGCGTCAAAACATCAGCTTCAATCGACAAAATCGATGCGACGAAGAAACTGCTAGTTTTTTTTTTCTGTTGCAATCGAGCAACCTCACATCAATCTAGTACCTCAGTCGGCGGCTGCAAACAAATTTTCTATCGTTTTTCTCTTTCTCTCGTCGCATCATTCGTTACCCTTTCAAGCTTCGGTGAAGCGGACGAGTGAAAAAGCGCTCGACTTCGTTCAGCTAGCTTTTGATGGATGCTTTCAATCGGAGTTTCATGACTTCTATGACAGTATTAAATATATATATATATATATATATATATATATATATATATATATATATATATATATATAATGCATTTTGCCCATGTAGATTTGAAGATTACACGTACTACATTTAACACGAAAAGCGTTCATACTCATATTAATCTGCTTTGATTGTTTCTCATAAGCGACTTTCTCTTTTGATAACCACGGTTATACAAACAGATTTCAGACTATTTTTGCAACAAAGTTTGATAAAGGCGTTGGCGTACTTAAGGCAAAATACCAGGGCGGCTAAATTTATTTTTCAAAATTCTCAATTAGGCAGTTAACGAATAATTTTAAGAAACACAAGTAATAGGCAAATCTAATCTAATCTAATCTAATCTAATCTAATCTAATCTAATCTAATCTAATCTAATCTAATCTAATCTAATCTAATCTAACACCAACACAGCCAGTTCATGAAAGCATCCTGGAAAACGATAGATATACCTCCATCCTTTTACTTGTCTATTTGGTATATTTTGTACATCAGAGATGCGTAAAATATATCAAAACGGCCAGGCCTACTGTGCAAGGCGATTCAGAAACATCGGGCCTGTTTAAATCAAAGATTTAAACACGATGCTTCAGAATTCGATAAATGGATGAAACGTGGACATTAGACTGATGTAAAATTTGAAATTTTCGCTCCACAGTGTTAAAACGGTTTCAAATCGGGTCTTGATTAGCCTCTGAAAGTTTAAACTCATTTGATAAGAAACTGACTTGGCACAAACCATTTGAAGTTTATATGGAAATTACTATGGGAAAACAAAACTTTTTGTTCATTGCCTTCTAGCCTTTTTACATATTGTACTGTTAATAAATTATTTTGCTATTCTTATGATAATTTTTATCAGCTACAACTTTGCAGAAAATCATTTAAATCAAATGGAATTAAATAGTTATTAATTGTTTAAGAGATTGATAATCTTATGGCAAGATTAAGCAACTGTATTGTGGGCAACACTGTATTCTGCAGTGTGACATAGTAGCCATGATTTTTGTCCTCTATTCTACGCGCCATAAACACCAATGTTGCCTGCTGAACAGTTGATTAAGCATAATCATAAGATATCAGTGACTTGAATCATTAATAATTTTTGTAGCTTAAATTTGATCGAAAAGTGGTCTTGAACAAAGTTGTAGCTGAGAAAATTTTCAACAAACTCAGCTATCATTTTCTAAAGTAGAGTGAACTGGTGAATTTTGAGATAGATATGAACCGAAATTATGGTTTCTCCATAGTAATTCCCATATAAACTTCAAATGGTTTGTGTCAAGTCAGTTTCTTACTAAACGAGTTCAAATTTTGGGAGGCTAATCAGTGCCCAATTTGAAACCGGTTGAGCACTGTGGAGCGAAAATTACAAATTTTGCATCAGTCTAGTGGACATCTCGTACCATACGTTCCGTTGTTATAAATCATTGGTCGTTGGAAGCATCTAATCTAAAAAAGTTAAATGATGCTCCATTTTCCTCGAGTGGTTAGGACATGAGCACTAGCTCTTGTCTTACCGTCTTACCCCTTATGCCTTCTGGTTATAGCGCCATTACTCGCCTTCCGAAAAAAAATATTGAATAAAAGGCCGTAGGAGAAAGACAAAGGAGGAAGGAACCCTAGTTCTATCTTCCCTTGTGTAAAAACTGGAAAAACGGGTCTCTAATCAATCTACAGGAAAAGTTCGCTAAAACTCACCATAACTCGCGAACTTTTCCTTTTGTGAGCTTCATAAAACCTCGCAAAATTTTCTAACGCTGAACACGAACAGGTAAGAGCTAGATTTCAGTAGAGAGCAATAGAACGAAAATATATTATAAATTTAAAAACATATAAATGAAAATAAAGAGATGGTCTCAGCAAGTTTCATTATTTGTGTACTCTTACTGTCCTGCTGTACTACTGGCAGTTCCAAGACTTTTCCGGGTTATTGCGAAACTAGTTCAAAAATTCTTCAGGCAAATGGAATTTTAAGGTACAAAATATCAAGCGTCTAAAACCAGAAAAAGCACTCGTCCGACTCTCTTGCCGAATGAACCAATTGACAAATCTATGTTGGAACTTGGCCATACCCACTCGTTCCCAAATGATGTTTGAGACAAAGTTGTAATCCAATCAGAATCATCGGGCCAACTTGCCAATCGCCTAATAAGAGTTCTGACGAAAAGGATGCTGATAAAAAAACACTTTGAAATGCATTTTACCCGATCACTTGCACTTGCTTTGCACTAAAGTTCTTTTCTAGAACTATGTTATCGAGTGGCACATTGTTTCGGACTAAAACGCGATGAAAAAATCAATGACAGAAAAAATTAGGCCTAAAATTTTCGAACCCATGATTTTCTGCTCAGTTAGCAAAATTGGTCATCACAAGGCCAACGAGCTCCTTAAATCACAGAAAAATTACGATGAAGTTCCCGCTCAACTTGCTCTCACTAGAGTTCGATCCCAGCGATGATCTTACCGACGTCGACAACAACTGCTCTTGAGAAGGATTTTATATGTAATTCCGATCAACACATTAGCGTTAGCGTTTGCGTTGCTACGGTCGGATACTAGTGACACTCACGTTTTTTTTGAAATTCTTAGTCAGACTGCGTTTAGGAATAATGCTAGGAAGTCAACATTATTTCCAATCTAAACAAGAATACCCAAAGCAAGACTGTCACTATTCCCGGCCACGCCTATATTTACCGTAACTTGGGCTAGGAAAGGAAATGTTGATGTAGTACTTACTCAAAGAGAGGCCACCGAATTAGTGACACCCTCATAAGTACTACGGAGTTGGAGTATTGGGTACGGTATTAGGTCAGGATACGCCTCAACCAGGCGATACAACCAAAAGCATATAATTGTTTTTGTTTGTTTGAAGAATTTGAAAATAAACGCACGAGTTTATGCACAGTAAGCAAACGCTCAATTTGTTTTCTTAGTACTGTATTAGTGAAATTAATATGGAACATAATGTTACGAACTAAATAAATAAAAATGAAGGATCTCACCCGAATAATCCTTGATGCTCCCGAATACAGTTCAGAAAAGTTTCTTAGATCTTGATTAAGGAAAACCGCTCCTTGTTGTCAGCCCTCGGAAAGAGATGCATCAAATGCAACAGTCCGGTATCTCTCGGTATCACTATAAGCTTGCTGGATTCACAACATCGTGATCATCTGGGATCTTCGTTGCCCATCAGCTAAGACAGCTCCCAACAAACACCGCTCCTGGATCTTCCTTTTATTATTTTTCTTTTTCACTTATCATTCGCCATGGTCTGATCTATTGCGATCCCGTCCATGAGATATTGAACAATCGG